GAAATTGAGAAATCCACAGTTGAGTATAACATCTGGTCGTAGGGGCAAATGGAGAGAAACCCCAGGTGTTCTGGGGTGCTGAATTTGACGGGGGGTTGTGGGGGGATCACATTAAAAACAACTCGATGATTAGCTCTGTGTAAGCAGGGCCTGGAAGACCTCTCACTTAGTAGATAAGACGGGGAAATAAAGGACCTTCTTAGGTGGAAGGAGCAGTTTGTGACAAGTTCACAGTTAGGACAGGAAGGAGAGTGTGTTTGTATGTCCTGAGCCTTACCAGGGGCTGACCTTGATCTGTACAAGGTGCTGGTGAAATATTTGTTAGAAAAAAAAAAAACAACAACAAAACCCTATTTTTTCCATGGTAGGATTTTGCTTAATTAAAGTTTTACTGTTTTTACAAATTTTCTCTTCCATACCTAGTCTTTTACTCTGATCCATAACATATGTTATAATATTATCATTACAGTTTTTCTTGTGTTATCCATAAGAGTTGTTTGGAAAAGCAGAAAACCTGAACTTTTCTGAACTCATATGTATTTTAATTCATAAAGTCCATTCATACATAGCTTTTCATATACTGGTGTTAGAAATCAGTTTATATAGCAAGTACTTTAAAGGAATTGTGTGACTTTCTTCAACTGCACATGAACTTCAGTAGGTTAATTTTAAGAATCCCGTGGTGGGGGGGCCTGGGTGGCTCTTGGTTTGGGGTGAGTTCAGGCTCCTCATCGGCTTTGGGACTCTCTCTCTGCCCTCCCATGCGCTCGCTCTCTCTCTCTTAGAATAAATAAACAAACTAAAAAAAAAAAAAATTCTAAAAAGAATCCTGCAGTTAGTTCTGTCTTTAGTTCCCAGTGGATTTGGGCCGGTTGCTCTGGCCTTTGTGCATAGTTCTGAATTCGTTTACTAACCACTGCCATCTAGTGTCCAGTGAGAAAAATACCTTAATGGTAAGCCAAAATAATATATTTTTAAAAGTATTTCTAAAATTTAATTGATTATGAGTTGAACCCTTAACATAAAAAATGAAGTTTCGTGAATAACGTGATCTTGGAATTGTCTGTGGGAAGGAAGATGAGAACAGTGTCTACCACCGGAAGGGTCTATTTAATTGGTGTCAGTGATTTTCCTGTTTCACCAGAAAATCAGGGTTTTTTAAAATTACGTGAGTCTTTCCTATTGTTTATTTTCCATCAAATCGACTTCTCCAAATTTTCATTTTTTAAATAACTTGAATGCTTTTTTATTGCTTCATTGAGCCAACCTACTGGTCATGACAAGGTTAGCAATCTCAGCGACTGTAAATTACCTACCCTTAGAAATAAGCAGTGTTTGTCGAGTTGCATGCTCCGAATGCAGACAGTTTTTTCTCTGGGAAAAGTAGAGGTAGATCTGGTTTGAAACTCTGGAATTTTTCCTTGATTTTAGTTGTTTTTATCTCTAGCCTTTAAAATATCTTTGTGCTAATCAAAGTTTTCATTGATTTATACAATGTTAAGGAATTAATTTTAGAGACTCAGCTCAACATCGGCTTTTATTGATAAATTATATATTCGAAGTACATGCATAAGTAGTCTTAACACATTTTAAAATATTGCATAGTGACATTTGACAGAGAGAAGTTTCCGTTCACCCTCCTATAAAAATAGTATTTTTTAATCTTAATCATATGAACATCCCAGTCAAACCCATTTGTCAAAAATCATAATGATTTTTTAAATAAAATTACTATTTCTTTTGTAACTTTCCTTAGAACTTACACTCATTGGTTACTGCCTTAATGCAGCCCCTTTACTAATGAAAATTGCAAATATATCTTATAAAATAAACTATGAATACTTCAAAACATGAAGAACCAAAACAAGACTTGCCTTGCCAGATCACAAAATGTACTACAAGCCAATCATGATTAAAACAGTATGGTAGACAGATCAGTTGACTCATACAGAGTTGAGAATTCAGAAACAGATCCCAGTATAGTTGGGGATTTGGTTTATGGTGGAGGTGGTAGTTTAACCACTGGAGAATAGCGTTCAGCGTACAACTGTGCATTTGATGATTTCTGTAGAGTAAATAAAGGTAGGTTTCATAGATCTTCCCTGTCTCTTGAATACCTGTAAAATTCAGCCTCTAATTTAGAGGTTTGTCACTGACGTTTTCTGTTTGCAATAATAGCTGTCAATTAGTCCATTCAACTGCGAAGATCATAAAGAACATGCTGTTACTGAACACAGAATCCAAACCAAAGATAGATCCTCAGTGAGAAAGGGATGTTATGAAGGGAACTTTTGCACAGGGGGAGTTGTACGGAGTAAAACGTAGAAACAAACAAGAACAGGAAAACCCCTAACGCAGAGGGAGAAAGTGAAACCACGTCAGAAACAGAGGTCAGTCCTAGGTTGGTCCTCGTTTTCCCTTCTGACCTGAGATCTTGACCTTCATTTGACAACTCACTCAATACTTTGTTAGCACATGCCCTCAGCTCTCATTTGGAAACATTTCTATTTGGTAAATGCGAACAAAAATCAGATGGTAATTGGTAAAACAGGGATAAAGTTCCCACAGTAAAGAGCTGTTTAAGTTTTTGGTAATTATTTATTATTTACAGGTTTTTCAGATCCAATGAAGTAATTGAAAGATTTCCAAACCTTTTATTAGGAAGCCCAATACATAGAATAGCTTTCCAGACGCCCTTGGTACAGTGTTTGCTTATCTGTTTCTTATGAGCCCTACATAGAGGCAGTAAATATTTTATGACGTTAAATAAATGATCTCCTAGTAATATAGGGATGTATAAGCTATTCTTTCATTGTTGATTTTTAAAGGTTAATTATAACTTAAGGTATTATTAAAACTAGCCTTAAAGGGCATATATTGCAAAGCCATCCAAAAAGCATGTCTGTTGTAGATCTTCCAATGACAAACAAAGCCAAAGACTATTAAAAAAAAAAAAAAATCCAAAGCCACTGCTGTGAGCTTGCTCCAGAGTTCGCCTCCTGTCACGGTCATGGTCATGGGAAGTTCTGTCGGAGCTCTGCAAGCCCCTCAGTTCAATTCAAGTTCATTTCCTGCCTTCTGTCTTTGGTAAAGGAAGAGAACGTTTGTCAGCATCCTTCTTAGGATTAACTTTCTCATAGGTTGGGAAATTCATTATTAACTCTGATTTTTCTTCTGGCTAAATATACCACATCCTTTACCACGTTTTCTTGCAATTATCCCTTCCTGTTCTTGAATAATTTTTCTACTCTTCTCTCAATCTTAAGAGAGGGTGGCACACTGGCTTGTACTGTGGCAATGGTAGATACGAAATCTCATCAGTCTTACTTCGTCCATGCCAGGTGCATATTGGTGGTTAATAGAATTACAGTAACTTTAAAATTAGCGACACTGAAGTCTAGCCTCTTAAAAAATAAGGTGAAGTTGTCATTTGCCATCTTTTAAGTAGTTAAATTTTAAAAATCTTTTTAAAGTGTATAACTTGGAATGAGCATTTTAAAGTTGATCTCTTTAAAAGGATCACTTAAAAAATATTTTTCACAGGAATTTTGCCTAATAGCAAATACTACTACTTAGGCACAGTTCTAACTGGTATAGCTATAGGTGTGAATAAAAATATTTTGAACTTCGCTTCTAACCTGTAAGTAATGATTTATTGAAAGCAGCTGGGGTGTGCGTAGCTCTGCTTTCCTTTCCTTCTCCTTGCTCCTGGCTGATTGTAGGAGTTCAAGTTTATAGGGTTTACTCTCCTGTGATTATAAGATTTTATAGGAAGGAAATGTTCTCTGACACTACCAGGCCTTGAAGATCACTTGTCTAATAAGTATATAATTAGATCCAACTCAATGTCTTTATCTAGAATTTGCTTAGTAAGTATTGATAGGAATATGTATATCTTAATAGGATTGTCTAATCTTACTGCTTCAGAGGTCTTCAGGCTTTAACTTACAGCAAGCCAGTTTAAGATAAAAGTAAAGTGCTGGGAGAATTACCTGAACCTTAATACTTTTCAAATTGAGTAGATAATCGTAATATAGTTATGTCAAAATATTGCCCCCAATCTCTAGGTGGTTTGTTTTGATTAGCAATTCTTACTTAGTAGAAATGTATTCAAAGTATTGGATTTAGTGGGGCGCCTGGGTGACTTAGTCGGTTAAGCGTCCGACTTTCGCTTAGGTCGTGATCTCACGGTTCGTGGGCTCGAGCCCCGCGTCGGGCTCTGTGCTGACTGCCAGCTCAGAGCCTGGAGCCTTTTTCGGAGTCTGTGACTCCCTCTCTCTCTGACCCTCCCCTGCTCAGGCTGTGTCTCTCTCTCTCTCTCCTAGAAATAAATAAAAACATTAAAAAAAAAAAAAGTATTGGATTTAGTAAAAATAACTGATCACACTTTAAAAAGACCCAAACATTTATTTTAAAATAGCTTCCGGACTTCACCTTCCCACCTGGTCATTTGAAAGGGAAAGATGCACCCAGATTTGTCCATAATTATTTTCACAGAGAAGAGCAAAATGTTTATCAAGAGTATTTTGAATCTCTGATTGAGTCAGGCCAGTTTAAGAAATGGATTGGTTGAGTCACAAAAAAAAGAAAGAAAAAAGAAATACTGTTCCGAACAACTTGACTTCTAGTCACTCATCCTGTCTCCAGAGCCATGTGCCAGCCTCTGGGGGAAGTTGGCCCTGATGTTCTCTGTTTCTCGTTTGACAATACCTTGATCCCAAGGACCACGTACTCTATATCTTACTGTTTTCCATATATCAAGATAAGAGGCTATTTTGTGAGTTTTTCTGTGCTCAGACATTGATTTCAGTCCTACATCAAGCCCGTGTTTTGTGTCCCGTTGGGAATATTACAGGGAATTTCACCTCAGACACCCCCAGTTTGATCATTGAAAGCAGTGTTGGCTCGCAGATGCCTCATGACTGATACGTAATACCCAGCAGTCTCTCTGTAGTAATGAGGTCTATACTATCCGTAAAACATGTTCTTCCTTCTTCTAGAGTCTGTGTGTGTTCACCCCACCTGGAATCAAGGAAGGGAAACCCCGGCTCATCCCTGCTGGGCCCATCGCCCAGGGCACCACCATCTCTGCCTACGTGGCCAAATCCAGAAAAACGTTGCTTGTGGAAGACATCCTTGGGGTAAATGGCTTTTTACTCTCTGTCTCATTAGTCACCTGAAATATTTATTTCATGAAGATGACGTATCATTTCGATGTTATGATTCAAGCCATTTTATAAAAGCATTTAGAGCAAAATACAGATCAATTAACGAATTTGTATGTAAATGAACGTCTGTCCTCAGAAAACCATATCTTATAATACCCACTGAGAGCTATTTTATTTATTTATTTATTTTTAAATATAAAGTGTTTTTAAACAACTTTGTTCTTTTTTTCTTTTTAAAATTTTTTTTAATGTTTTATTTATTTCTGAGAGAGAGAGAGAGAGGCAGGGTGAGCAGCAGAGGATCAGAGAGAGAGGGAGACACAGAATCTGAAATAGGCTCCAGGCTCCGAGCAGTCAGCAAAGAGCCCGACGCGGGGCTGGAACCCATAAACTGTGAGATCATGACCTGAGTCGAAGTCAGACGCCTAACCGACTAAGCCACTCAGATGTCCCTAAAGTTGTTGTTGGGTTTCTTTGGGGTTTTTTTTTGGTTTTATTTATTTTTGAGAGAGAGAGAGAGAGAGAGACAGAGCATGAGTGGGGGAGGGGCATTGAGAGATGGAGACATAGAATCTGAAACAAGCTCCAGGCTCTGAGCTGTCAGCACAGAACCCGACATGGGGCTCAAACTCATGAACCGTGAGATCATGACCTGAGCTGAAGTTTGGATGCTCAACCAACTGGGCTACCCAGGCACCCTGAGTGCTATTTTAAGTAGCTCTTATTTCAATGCATACTAGTACAGTTAAGCATAAATTGTATGTTTATATTCATGTGAACTGAATGATTACTGTGGGTTTTTTTTTTAAGTTCATTTATTTATTTTGAGAGAAGCATGAGCAAGGAAGGGGCAGAGAGAGGGAGAGAATCCCAAGGAGGCTCCGTGCTGTCAGCGCAGAGTGGGACACGGGGCTCCATCTCCTCAGCCGTGAGATCACCACCTGAGCCGAGGTCAGGAGTCAGACACTTGACTGACTGAGCCGCGCCGGTGCCCCGTGATCACGGTTTCATGCTTTATGTCGTAGCAAGATGAACGTGAGTGAGTCAGCGGGTGTCGGAGGCCAACGCGTCCCTAGCGTCGGTGATGCCACCCAACAGCCTCTTGTCACTCCTCAGCCAGGGTCAGGCTGCGTTCGGCTGAGCTTGGCTTATGCATCTGACATCAGCTGGCTGTCACTGAGGAGCGGGCTGGCCTTGGACGGCCTCAGTTCCCCGTGTTTATCAGCCCCCACCTCCCCACCTCCCCCCCAAGTAAGGTCAGCCTGGAACGTTCTCATGACGGGGGCAGGGTTCCAGAGAAGACGTGGGACACGCAAGTCAGGTTTCAAGCCTCCGCTGGCATCACGCTTCCTACCCTTGCGTTCTCGCAAGTGAATCACGTAAGCAAACCCGGGCTCGGTGTTGGAGGGCACCGACGAAGGACGCGAGCGTAGGGAGCGTGACAAAATGGAGCCCTTAGTGCGATCTTCCACATGATAGGTGAGCTTCGTGATGAAGTGTCACTGCCTGAGCTTAGCCTAAAATTGACAGGTAGGGAAATAGGTGTGTAGGTGTAAGGAAATTGCTCTGGAAAGTGCTAAATTGGAGTCATGAGATACGGGTTTTAATTTTGGTTTTGCCACTAATTATCTGTATGGAGACAGATAGAGATGAAGAAGGTTACTGAAAGACTGGATCTTAGTTACAAGATAATCATGTGACAAGATAGAAATGCAAACTAAAACTACAATGGCAATCATATTATAATATATAAATATATGAAATATATTTAATATATATTAAACTTGTGTAATGTCCTATGTCAAACACATTTCACTTTTAGAAAGTGTTCAAAGATACTTTATAGGTTGTCACTTGAAGATGTCCTGTTGTATATTCAGGCTCTCAAAAGATCTATAAATTACAAATACTGATTTGTACTGTTGATTTATGAAAACCCCCTACAGACAGCAGAAATTCAATAAGTAGAATTAGTGTTTTGATATTAATTCATTTGATTTCCCTATATTCCTTTGAGTGATTTGTTAAGCTAGAAAGTTATTAGTTAAGGAACCAATTTCATTCTTTATAAATAATTGATAATTATTAGATGATTTGAATACTTAATTTGGAGCCTTTGAGATTCAATGAGAATGACCATCAATAACGTACACTTTGACATTGTCTGGGGCACCTGGGTGGCTCAGCTGGTTAAACGTCTGACTTCCACTCATGTCATGATCTCACGATCTGTAGGTTTGAGCCCCGCGTCGGGCTCTGTGCTGACAGCTCAGAGCCTGGAGCCTGCTTCGGATTCTGTGTCTCCCTCTCTCTGTCCCTACTCTGCTCACACTCTGTGTCTCTCTCAAAAATAAATAAAACATTAATTTAAAAAAAAAAAAAACACCATATACTTTGACATTATTCTAACCTGAAAAAAAGAAAAGGAACAATTTTTATATATACTTTCCTTCTTGCAGTATTTACATGTGGAGTAATTTTCACTCACGACGTTATGCCAGTAAAGGTCCAGGAAGGTTTATGGCCCATAGAAGGGGACGCATAAATACATGTTAGTCAGCATAATTACTTCTGTGATGGCATGAAATTCACATATATTCATCTATCAACTAAATTCTACTCTACAGAGATAAAGAAACATTAAGGTAGTATCTGTGTTTAGGTGCCATGTTGCTGAAGGAAAAAACTTGTTTTTTTCCCCAAATTTTTATTTAAATTTTAGTTAGTTAACATACAGTGTAATATTGGTTTCAGAAGTAGGATTTAGCGATTCATCACTTACATATAACACCCGGTGATCATCACAATAAATGCCCTCCTTTTCCCAGCACCCATTTAGCCCAGCCCCCCACCTCCACTCCATCAACCTCAGTTTGTTCTCTGTGTTTACATGTCTCCTAAATAGAGTCCTTTCTCTTTTTTTTCTCTTCCCATATATTCATCTGTTTTGTTTCTTAAATTCCACATACGAGTGAAATCATATGGTAGTTGTCTCTTGACTTATTCACTTAGCATAATACACTCAGGCTCCATCCCCATCATTGCAAATGGCAGGATTTCATTCTTTTTGATGGTTGAGTAATATTCCATCGTGTATATATCACATCTTCATTATCCATTCATTAATTGATGGACATTTGGGCTTTTTCCATAGTTTGGCTGTTGTTGATAGTGCTGCCATAAATATTGGGGTTCATGTGCCCCCTAAGATAAGCATTTGCTTAGATATAGTTCATAGTGTCCATTGGCATTTAGTGTTCCTTTTAAAGGGCCTACCTGTTTTTTTATTGCAAGTATTAGGCAATTTCTGACAGAAATAAGAATCATACCATAATGTTTCCATCTCTTGTACTGAATTTGTACCTTTTCTCCTTTAATTTTCCAGGATGAACGATTTCCAAGAGGTACTGGACTGGAGTCAGGGACTCGTATACAGTCTGTTCTTTGTTTACCGATTGTCACTGCAATTGGTGATTTGATTGGTATCCTTGAGCTGTATCGGCACTGGGGCAAAGAAGCCTTCTGTATGAGTCACCAGGAGGTGAGGCCAGCCCGAGGAGGGCGCTCATTGGTATTGTTCAGTTAGTGAATGAATGAATAGTTAAAACCACAGTTTGCTTAACAATGTTTTGATGGTTTTTTAAACTTTTATTTTTGTTTGTACTTATTTAGGGAGGAAACTGATTAAATTAGACCTATAGTAACTTAGGGGTACTTGGGTGGCTCAGTCGGCTAAGTGTCCAACTTCTGCTCAGGTCATGATCTCATTGTTCATGAGTTCGAGCCCCACGTGGGTTCTGTGCTGTCAGCTTGGGACCCTCTGTCCCCCACTCTGCCCCTCACCCTCTTGAGATCACATGCATGCACGCTCTCTCTATTTTTCAAAAATAAGAAACATTAATAAAAAAGGGATCTAGTAATTTATTTTGGTAGGAATCCAGTCTAACAATACAGATTGAAGTATGGCATATTGTGAATTAAATAAAGTAGTAGGATGACTTTGTAGAGTTTTCACTTTCTGGTTGTCTTTATGTTTTCTTAAAAATGGCCTTTTTCGAGAGCGTATCCTGAATAAAGTTCCAACATCAAATACATTTGGAAAACAACGGGTTCCGTGAACTATTCCCTGAACCAGAATTGGCTCATTAATCCCAAATCCAATTCCTACAGGGATGTGTGTGTCACTCCCAACGTGCAGATGCACACGTCTCTCGGGGGCCTTGTCCCCGTGCCGGGATGACTGTCCCCTGCTCTCCCCTCCGCCAGCCATGCTGGACCCTTGAGCAAGGCTGACCCGCTCCCGCTCAGAGCCTGTGCACCCACTCTCCCTCAGATTGGGGTGCACTCATGCTCGTTGTCCCTGGCTGCTGCCCTCTCACGGAGGGGGCCTTCGCCGAGCACGCACGGGCACTCGGGCGGCTCCTCCAGCGCTCCGTCTCCCTCGGCTGTGCCTCTTCTCCCTCTGGCCCCTGGTCAGGAGCTGGCGCGCCGTGCGCCTCATGGACTTGCTTCCTCGTCTCCCTGTCCCGCAGTCCACTGTGCGCTGCTGTGGCGTCCCCGCTGGTGGCTGTGGCTCCAGCATCCAGATTGCCTGGCACCTGCCAGGCACCCAGCAAATGTCTGGGAAGTGAATGCACAGAAAAGAAATGGAATAGCTGGGAACTGGAGAACTTGTCAGCAAAATCTTGGAAATACCTCCTCATTTTACAATAGTCATTGAGGCCGTTTGACTAGTATTTTTGTTAAGCTGAAAATAATCACGTGAAAATCATTGGAGGATAGCTCTCTTAAGCAGTTATCTTTTTATCCAAAATTAAGAGGATCAAGAGAACATTAGACTCCATCATAAAGGAGCAGAAACATACAAGAGAAATCTTATACACATTTGCTTCTCTGTGTTTGGCAAAATACTCAAATACTTGGTGGGCTCAGAAGATCATTCATAGACGTTTAGGCTAGAGCTCTGAGTTGGCTGTGTGCGTGTGACTGATCAAAACGTGTCTCATCCTTGTTTTCAGGTCGCGACAGCAAACCTCGCCTGGGCTTCAGTAGCAATACATCAGGTGCAGGTGTGTCTTCGGGGTGTTTTGGGGGGGGAGGGGCAGGGCCGGTGCAGCCCGGGGGTGCAGGAACCTAATAGCAGCCCTGATGTGTTACTTGTGGGTATTAGTTATTTTGTGATTTCTCAAATGTTGTATCCGCTTATATTTACTTACTTCCTGCCTTAAATACCTTGCAATTACTTCCACACATTTCTATACAATTATAAACCATTTATGCAATGAATGGTTTATGCTCTGTTAGGTTTTGTTTTCCGCTGAAAGCCACCGGCTGGCAGTAGCATTGATATGGTCACGACTCCCCCGTTTCCTAAATGAAAGCATCCTCTAAACTAAACGGTATATGAAAACGTTCATATCAGATTTCCGATACCTGCTTCTCTTGAAGATATGCTCTCATTTGAAAGATCACAAACTTCATTGAGTTTCCCAGTAACTGAACTTCAAGAGTTCGGGGACACAGCAGCAAAATACTTCTCCCCTTGTGTCTTCCACTTCTCTTTGCTGTTTTGTTCTTTTAAAATCCGTTTCAGCAAACTCAGATCGTGGGGTGCGGGGGAAAGAGCTTACAGTTCCAGAATCTTAGTGTGAGGGGCAAGGACCTCTGGGATCTGACCGTCTCACACATAAGTGGATTGTGTGCCCACGTGTAATTCTGTAAATTAGAACGTTGTTTTAAAAGAACAGCCGTGGGGTTAGACTGCCTGGGTCTGAATGCTGGCTCACTTAGTAACTGTGGGGCAGGAGCGTGCTTCTCAACCTCTTGCTTCAATTATGAAAGTAAATCAATCCCCAGTCCACAGTGTTTTGTGGTGATTAAGTAAGGTAATAAATATAAAGTGCTTAAAATAGAGCACAGCACATGTAAGCCTTTAAAAAATACAACTTGCTATTGGCAGTATCACTACTTTATCAAAAGTAATTGTGTTATGTCTTTTAAAATATATAAAGTAAATTGTATTCTGGAATTTTTTTTTTTTTTCATAAGCGGAAATCTCTTACAAGTAATAGCCATTATTTTATTCGGCAGGTATGCAGAGGCCTTGCCAAGCAGACCGAATTGAATGACTTCCTACTTGACGTATCAAAGTAAGTGTTCGTTTTAGGGGTGAGGAAGCTCTTCTGGGTCAGCGGTTTACAGTACGTGCAGGCTCTGACGGCAGTAAGTCCTGTGTACCCTTAGTCAGCTGTCCGGTAGGAAAGGTTCATGCCCTGGACCATGAAATTATGTTCTCACCCACGTTCACTTACAAGTGAAGGGTTGCAGGTGCATATGTGCAATACTATTAGTTTGCATTTTGGTGTATATTTTCTCATTAGACTCACTAAAGCATGTTAAAGACACTAAGTATTTCTGTTTTTGCAAGAGAGAGCTGAGAGCAGTAGAAGAGGGAATGTTCTAGTTTCTTACTTTCCAAAAGTCCTCTCTGGCATTTTCTAAAAATGTCAGCAAATTAAACCATATTAGCAACATTTTTTTACATTTATTTATTAATTTTGAGAGAGAAAGTGAACAGGGGAGGGGAAGAGAGAGAGAGAGACAGAGAGTCCCAAGCAGGCTCCGTGCTGTCAGCACAGAGCCCAACGTGGGGCTTGAACTCACGAGCCATGAGATCATGACCTGAGCCAAAACCAAGAGTCAGCCGCTTAACCGACTGAGACTCCCAGGCGTCCCCGTATTAGCAGTATTATTATTTTAATCTTCCCGTGTATGGGAGCTCCAATATCACTTTAGGGACAGTGGTCCGGTTCCCTGAAGCCTGACCTGGAAAAGCTCCCTGGGGCTGGCGGTGGGAGCAGGTAGAGACCTTCACTGCCGCGTCAGTCCACGCCGGTTACCCTGCTCCCGGCAGGCTGGTCCGTAGATCTGAGCCTTCTGCTGAATGGCTGACACCTGAAATAACACCCCAGGAGGTGGTCACTGCCGGGCCACGACCTCTGGCAGCCTCGTAGAGGACTGACAGGCCTGTTCTTCCACGGCCGAGGGCAGCAGCCGGGACCACGTTCTCCCCCACGGGCCGCTTTGGCGGCACTCACCACCTTCCTCGTCACCGAGTGCTGTGACCCCAGCACTAACTAGTCCGAAGTCGCTGCTTTGTGTCACATGCAGTTTTTGAAACATGAAAGTAGAGAAGCATGGGAGTGAGGGTGCCTTCCTCTGATCCCCGGGGCCCTGGACGGAATTAAACGGTAGCTCTGGGACACATGACCCTAGCACCCAGGCACACAGGAAGGGAGCCGTGCGCCTTCCTCTGCTGGCGTAGTTGAGTCCCTCGCACAGCTTCCACAGCTCAGTTCAGTCCCTGTGAGGCCCTTCCCTCGGGGACACCCTTTGGACCTTACCCTCTTCCTTGTAGTACTCTCCGTTGCCAGTGCACAGAGTGATTAAGTCCGTGCTAAGTCTTAGTGGCTCCAAACTGGGTAATTTGTCTTTTAAATGAAATTCATCACTCCTCAGTTATCCTGACTCTGAGTGCGTTGCGAAGTTCACAAGAACCAGTAGACCCTGTATTAACATGTCCGCTAGAATACATGCCTGCGCCTGCCTCGCTCATCAGGTTGGCATTTTAATGGAGGTGCCACACATCTCCTAAGCATTTACTTGCTGTTTGTAATAACGAATACAAGTTACTTCTATAAAGTTTACGTGTGTGAAGTCGTCAGGTCATCATTATTTCCTGTGTTCTGATATTTCTTCTCAAATGAATCACGTGGCTTTCTCGGTACAGTGCAACTGTGTTTTAACTTTCAAGGGTTTTGGTGCTAATTTACATTATAACTATATTAATGAGATTAAGCAAATTTAAGTATTTTTATTTTAGATCAAAGTTATTCATGAAAATATTAAATATGGTGAGCAGTTTTATCCCTTCACATGCTAGGAACTTGCTCTCAAAATACATACTTACCAATACACTAACTACTCTCTGAAAGTAGATGCTTCATACCAATGTTAATGATAAAGTTTCATTTATCTCTAAAGTAGCTTGTTATTGGTTTCCACAAAAGAACAAAAATCAAACAACATGTATCTTTACGTGTTTTTACTTAAATGTAGACAGAACTGGGAAATGTATGCAAAGTTTCATATGTTCTGTGTTCCTATTTAGATTAATTACCAGTTTTCTGCTCCTTTTTTTTTTTCAGGACATATTTTGATAACATAGTTGCAATAGACTCTCTACTTGAACACATAATGGTAGGTTGGTTTTTGTTTTGAAAATGACTGTATTTAGCCCTTCAATTCGATTCATGTCCTAATATATGCTGGAACATTTTAATGCATTATTAGAGGTATCAGCTGCTTTAAATCATGATGGAAAGATGGCAGTGATCTCGAGGTGTTGCTTTGCTTTATTTGTCACTTTTGTTAATTGTGCAGGGGTTTCAGTAACTTTTGGGGAAATACCTGAGTTTTTCATTATTTCATGGTAAGCGAAACTGTGAAAACATTCAGTTCCTTCTTATATTCTCCACACCACCTTGTGCGCTTCGACTGTAACTGTATTAGGGATTCCCAGCCACCTGCGGTTCAGTCTGTTTAGTTTTAGTCTTACCTGTTGCTCTCTTCTGGAAGGCTAGTGGGCGCTCGGAGCCGAGAGCCACGGGAAGCAGAGTTTTATCCATACTTTCTCGTGTTGCCGCTGTAGTGCCTGGTGACACTTCCGTTAGCCAAGTGGCTTCTGCTCCCAGTGACCTATGTGCACCACAGAAGTCAGCCTGGTCAGTACCGTTCTTGCCCTTATGTGTATTTTGGTAAATCTTCTCACTCCTTCCCGTTTGCCTGGTCTTTTCTCAAAACATAGCAATCCTGTGCCGAAAGGGGTCTCGTCATCTCCAGGTTTCATGCTACACACGGCTGTGTTTCTCTCTTGATATCACGGCGGCCGAGGGGGCGGTAGAAGGGGCCCCGTGGCTTGTACAGACAGATTTTATGAGAGGAATTAGTAACATTAAGGGTTATTGCTTTCAGCCCATTCTTTACAGAATAAGGGTTACACTGATGTTTTATTTGGATGAAAAAGACTACTTAATTGCATAGGAAGAAATAATTTGTTTGGTTATGGAAAATTTTAAGGAGTTTGTGAAGAAGTGAAAAATATTAAGAAGAATATAAAAATATATCTATATGGATTGACCTAGCTTGACTAGGAGTATGAGAATTCGTTGTTGCCTGGTTCTTATATTATTGACCTTCTCTTTTTTATTTTATTTATTTATTTATTTTTTAATGTTTTATTTATTTCTAGGAGAGAGAGAGACAGCGTGAGCAAGGGAGGGTCAGAGAGAGAGGGAGATACAGACTCTGAAATAGGCTCCAGGCTCCAAGCTGGCAGTCAGCACAGAGCCCGACGTGGGGCTCAAACCCACGAACTGCGAGATCATGACCTAAGCGAAAGTCGGACGCTTAACCGACTAAGCCACCCAGGCGCCCCTGATCTTCTCTTTTTTAGAACAGTTGTTTTGAAATATAATTCATATACCACACTACTCATCCATTTAAAGTGTTCAAGTCAGAGGTTTTTCGCATATTCAAAGATATGTGCAGCCATCACCAGTCGATTTAGAACATTTCCATTAGCTGGGGCGCCTGGGGGGCTCAGATGGTTAAGCATCTGACTTTAGCTCAGGTCTTGATCTCATGGTCCATGAGTTCGAGCCCCACGTCAAGCTCTGTGGGGAGCCTGGAGCTGCTTCGGATCTGTGTCTCCCTCTCTCTGCTCTTCCCCCCACTTGCATTCTGTATGTCTCTGTCTCTCAAAAATAAACATTAAAAAATTTTTTAAAAAAAGAAGAACATTTTCATTACTTAAAAAAGACAGCTCTATATCATTAGCTATCATCTACTTAAGCCCCATGCTCCTTCCTGCCCACCCCCAATCCTAAGCAACCACTAATCTAATTCTTTTTCTATGGATTTACCTAGTCCAGACCCCTCCCACAAGAGAGATCATGTAATATGTGGCTTCTGTGTCTGGCTTTCTTCACTTAGCACACTGCTTTCGAGCCCCATGTCAGGCTCTGTGCTGACAGCTCAGAGCCTGAAGCTCCTTCCAAGTCCTCCTGTGCCATAGCAAGTACCAGCACTTCGTTCATTTCTGTGGCTGAAAAACACCCTGTTAGATGAATACACATGCACATTCTCTGTCCATCGTGAGCTCTTAAACATTTGGATTCTTTCCACATTTTGGCTAATGTGAAAAGTACGGCTTTGAACATCTATACACAAATTTTTTCATTTGAACACCTGTTTTCAGTTGTTATCCACCAAGGGAGTGGAGTCGCTGCTCATACGGCTGCTTGTGTGTTTAACTCGAGGACCAGCCAGCCTGTTTTCCCTGCAGTCGCTCCATGTCACAGTCCCACCAGCCATGTGCCCGGGTCCGGCTCCTCCACATTCTCACCGACACCGGCTGTTGTCTGACTCCTTGACCAAATCCTAATATTCCCCAAAGGTAGAGAGAAGGAAAGGCATTGAGCAGAATATAGATGCAAACATCAGAAATAAGTAATAACACCAAATGCAGAAGTAAAGATTACATCAGCTAAATAAATAACATTCACCCCAGGAATGCAAGAGCAATTCGATGTTAAGTAATAAATCAATATAGTTCCCTATTCTAATTGAATAAAGGGAGAAAAATTACATGATTTTAAGAATGAATGACAAAAATTTTTATAATTCTCAACACCCAATAGATGCAAACTTGGAATAGAAGGGAAAGTCTTTAAGTTGTTGAGTAGTGTCTGCTGGGGCCCCAGCCAACATACAGAACAATGCGGGAGGGGAAGCGTGCACATCAGAGAAAGTTCATTCCTCTCCGTGCTTCCATTCAACAGTGTTCTTGTCTTCACTGAATTTTAAATCCACGCTTGTTATCAAGAATTGCTTTCCACTTACAAGTAAAGCTGTGTGTGCGTGCGTATGGGGGAGAGGCAGTTGGCTTTTAGAACGACCTTCTGATGCTTGGAGTTCTTAAATATTCCCAAAATCTGTCTAGGGTTTCTGAATTCCTTTTCAGCTTGTAAGGGTACCATTTCAATCTGAAAACCTGTATTTGGGGGGAACAAATGTAAACATGTTCAGAATCACTGGTCTTAAAACAGAAGCCTTTCTCACTACCTGTAATTGTTTTTCAGTTGATTTTCTAGATTTTTTGAAATATTCAAGAGCACACTAAATGGGAAAATTTTGTCCTTTCAAATGTATATACTCTCATCTTTTTATCACCTAATTGTGTGTGGGTTTTTTAAATGTTTATTTTTTTTATTTTGAGAGAGAGTATGAGCACATGTGCCCAAGTGGGGAAGGGCAGAGAGAGAATCCCAGGCAGATTCTGTGCTGTCAGTGCAAAGCCTGATAATGGGGCTCGATCTCACAAACCATGTGATCATGACCCCAGGCGAACTCAAGAGCTGGATGCTCAACCAGAAGAACCACCCAGTACCCAAATTATATGTTTTTTAAAAATGAGGTATAATTGAGCATCTGACTCCTTATTTCAAGAGTTTTAGGTAATATATCATAGTGTATTTGGCTTTCGTCTTCATGATGGTTAGTGATGTTAAGCATCATTTCATGTAGCTGTTGACCATCTGATGTCTTCTTTGGAAAAATGTCTCTTTAAATGTCTCTGCCCATTTATTTATTGGATGGTTATTTTTTGATGTTTAGCTGTATGCATTTTTTATGTATTTTGGATATTCGCCCCTTACTGGTTATATGATTTGTATATATTTTCTCTCATTCAGTAGGTTTCTTCTTCATTTTGTTAGTGGTTTCCTTTGCTGTGCAAAAGATTTCTTGTTGCTTTTTCCCACTTATTTTTGCTTTTGTTGCCTTTCCTTTTGGAATCAGATCCAAAAACAACAAAGAGAAGCAAAAAAACAAACCAAAAAACAAATAAACAAACAAAAAAACACTGCCAAGATCAGTGTCAGAGAACTTACAGCCTGTATTTTGTTCCTGGCGGTTTTATGGTTTCAGGTCTTCCATTCAAGTCTTTAATCCATTGTGAGTTTGTTTTTGTGTGTTATAAAATACTAGCCCAGTTTCATTCTTTTGCACTGTGGCTGTCTAGTTTTCCCAGCACCCTTTACTGAAGAGACTGCCCTTTTCCCATTTATATTCTTGCCGTCTTTGTCATAAATTGACCATATATATGTGGGCTTTGTATTCTGTTTTTATGCCAAAACCATACTGTTCTGATCATAATAGCCTTGTAATATCATTTGAAATCAGGGACCACGATACTTCCAGATTGGTTCTTTCTCAAGATTGCTTTGGCTATTTGATGTATTGTGTGGTTATACTCATTTTAGGACTCTTTGTTCTAATTCTGTGAAAAATTCCATTGGGATTTTGATAGAGGTTTCATTGAATCTGTAGATTGCTTTGGATAATATAAACATTTTAACAATATTAATTCTTCCAATCCATGAGCGTGGAGTATCTTTCCAATTATTTGTGTCTTCATCTTTTTTCATCGGTGTCTTACAATTTTTAGTGTACAGGTCTTTCCTTTCCTTGATGAGATTTATTCCTCAGTATTTTATTCTTTTGATGCAATTGTAAATGGGACTGTTTTCTTATTTTTTGTTTCCAATAGTTTATTAATATATAGAAATGCAACAGATTTCTGTATGTTCGTTTTACACCGTGCAACTTGACTGAATTTGTTCATTAGTTTTAAAAGGTTTCTGTTTGTGCATGTGGAGTCTTTAGGGTTTCCTCTCTATAAAATCACATCCGTTTTACTTCTTTTTATCAAACGTGGATGCCGTTTCTTTCTCTCTCGTACCTCACTGTTCTGGTTAGAACTTCTAACACTCTGTTGAACAAGAGCAGTGAGAGTGGCATCCTGATCTTATTCCTGATCTTAGAGGAAAAGCTCTCAGCCTTTTATCATTGAGTGTGTTGTCATTCCTCTCCTCTGCGTGTTCGGCGAGCGTCTTTACGACCGACTTGGAGTTCTATCAGGTAAGTTACTGATCTCCGTTTCATTAGTTCCTTTTCCTGAGGTTTTATCTTGCTTCTTTGTTTGGAACATACCCTTTATTTTCTTTATTTTGCTCAACTCTGTGTTTGTTTTCCTTTTTTTTAAATATTTGTTTATTTTTGAGAGAGAAGGAGAGAGACAGAGTGTGAGTGGGGGAGGGGCAGAGAGAGAGGGAGACAGAATCTGAAGCCGCTCCACGCTCTGAGCTGTCAGCACAGAGCCCGACGCGGGGCTCAAACTCAAACCATAGGATCATGACCTGAGCTGACGTTGGATGCTCAACCGACTGAGTCACCCAGGCGCCCCGTCTCTGTCTTGTTTCTCTATGTTGGGTGAGACAGCCGTGTCTCCCAGCCTTGAAGGATGGCCTTGTGTAGGCAGTGACCCTCAGATTGCATTGGTGCTGGATGGTCTTTCACACCTTTATGCTCATCTGCGCAGCCAGATTTATCCTTGATAGGTCCCTGTTGCTCTGGGTGTGCCAAGACCTTAGGGTGTGCACAGGGAAGGGTCTCAGTCAGCACCTCGTTTCTGGCGGATTAGAAGGAGCATGTCAGGCAGCAGGTTTTAAAGTATGTAAATGTACACACGACCGTGCATGGGCCACAGTTGTGAAGCTGGCCTCCAGAGCGGGTAACTGGAGGTGTCTCCCGGGTGACATTTGTAAAGCCTGGGGCTGCAGCCGAGCATATGAGCTCCTTTCTGGGAGGCACTGGTGAGCTGCGGCAAGGCCAAGGAGAGCACAGGGATGGCGTCCTCACCCAGCTTCCCCTGGGGCTGTAGCCTCCCGATGTGTGCAAACCCGTGTGGGCTCGTCGGGTCGAAGCTCCAGGACGAGTATGTAGGCCTTTTTCACAGGAAGACTAGGGTGTGTTGCAGTCTGCTGTGGGCATAGTGCCTGAGGTCGGGGGTGGGGGGAGGCAGGTAGCTTTAATTGTCACAGTCCTGTGGGCCCCGGGACGCAGTCCCCCCCCAGTCCTGTGGGCCCCGGGACGCAGTCCCCCCCCCGTCCTTGTGGCCCCCGGACCCAGCCCCCCCCCAGTCCTGTGGGCCCCGGGACGCAGTCCCCCCCAGACCTGTGGGCCCCGGGACGCAGTCCCCCCCCGTCCTGTGGGCCCCGGGACGCTGTCCCCCCCAGTCCTGTGGGCCCCGGGACGCAGTCCCCCCCCCGTCCTGTGGGCCCCGGGAGCACATTCCCTCCCCCCGTCCTGTGGGTCCCGGGAGCGCAGCCGCTCCCCCACTCCGGCCACTGGAGGCAGCTGTTAGGGAGGCCCCTGTGTGGGCTGCAGGCCCCCAGCGGCTGTAGTAGGAGGCTGAGGGCAGTGCCACCAGCACTGTTAAGGGAACAGAAGTGCAGAAATGGCACCAGCCCTGTTGTGCCCCCAGAGGGTCCTGCCCGCCTGGCAGACACTCTAAGATTAGCAAACCAACCTCCTTCAGGTACGTTTTCAGGAGCTTCTCCACCTGCTGCCTTTGCGCTGGAACCCGAGGTGTGTGAGTGTGCGTGTGAGCCCTTTCAGGAAAGTGTCTGGGTCCCCACCGAGTGTGGCCCTGTTGGTTGTCAGAGCTGGGCATTGTAGGGGCTTAGGGTATGGGTGTGTGCATACATATACGTGCAAATGGATGTATTCCTCTATTTCATTTGACCAGTTTGCATCATGAATGATGCCTAAATTGCATCACGTGCATTTTTGACAACTATGAAGATAAGTGTACGGTCTTTTCCTTTATTTTAGTGCTATTATGAAATAATAGAGTTTATGATGCTGAACAGTTCTGAATAGTCTTTAAATATTGTAATATGTTAATTCCTAAGTCTGATTTGCTAACATTTTTATTTATGAGTGTTCTCCGGGTTCCAAGGTAAACTGGTCTGTGATTTGCTTTTTTCTAGTATCTTTGTCCATTTTCAGTATCTCTGGCATAACAGGGGTTCTAAAATAACTGAAAAGGTTATGTTCTTTCTGAACATAGGATGGAAATAATTTATTGAAGATTCTTAAGTAATTCATATTTGAAATCATTTGGGCCTGATGCCTTTTATGGGGATAATCCTTTGACAACTTTTCAGTTGTCTGTATTATTCTGTTTCATTTTTTTAATGTTTATTTATTTATTTTGAGAGAAAGAGACAGAATGAGGAAGGGGCAGAGAAAGAGAGGAAGAGAGAGCGAATCCCAAGCAGGCTCTGTACTGTCAGCTCAGAGCCCAGCACAGGGCTCAGTCTCACGAACTGTGAGATCACGACCTGAGCCGAAACCAAGAGTGGGGTGACCCTCCTCTTTCCACAGCTGCCCCAGCAGGTGCCCTCTTACTGTGTTTCTGTTTACGTTTTTCAAATACTTCTCACCTCGCTTTTCCAGAAAGTTGTCCATTCTGTGTAGATTTTTATAATTATTAATGTAAATATGTGCCAAAGTCTTAAGCAATTAACACGACCTAGGCACGAGTATGTATTTTTGCTTTTCATAATGTAATCTCTAGTCCTGCAGGGCCATTATTATTATTTAATAATTCAAGATCCCATGGGTTTGCAGTAAAATGGGTGACTCTTCTGTTTGCCAAAATACAGTCCCATTACTGTCTCCCTGACTTATGTCATTCATCATTCCTCAAATATTTATTGAGACTTCATAGGTTCTGGAAGTCCTGTATGTTCTAACCTAAGGATTGGCAAACCTTTATTGTAAAGGGTCAGATGGTAAAGTTTGATGCTTCATGGGCCATACCCTACTGCAGACACTCAGCCCTGCCACTGTAGCAGCCTTAAACAATGCGTAAAGGAATGAACATAGTTCTCTCCCAATAAAACTTTATTTGTAAAAACAGGCAATGGGCTAGATTTGGCTGATGGACTTCGGGTAGCTGACCTCTACTCGAGGCCTGGTGCTGGGCATTTGCAATACTACGGGGAAAAGAAGCAGTTTCTGCTGTTCCAGAACTCAGGCTAATGGAAAGAGACAAACTGTTAAGTTCTCATAATCTTCATACGCAGTAAAGTCAGTCTGTGGCACAGCTGGACTCAGTGAATGAGTACAACTTATAAAGACCAGTGTATAATATGAGGATGAACCCACGCTGAGTTCTTTTCATTAAATTGATAAAGTAGTTTTACATGAGATTATATATTTTCCTGTGGCCACAAGGTGGCCCATGTCCCTCTTGCATAGACTTTGTAATGGCTTTTTTCTCTGAGAATCAGCTCTTTTTCTCCGAGGAATAGTTTCATGTGTAAAATCTGGGGGGCTGAGGTTGCTGGAATTCTCAAACTATAGTCCCGACCCGCCAGAGTCAGTGGGATATGTTAGGCGTTAAAGAAGTAATTGTGGAAAGAAATTGATGAACAAGTGAATGACAAAGTAAATGGGGGTGAGGGAAGGGCTCTGGGGGCGGGGCCAGTAGCTATGTTCCAGTGCACACGAGCCTGTGTAGTGTTTGAGCATTCAGCCCCACGGCGTGCGTGCAGGGCAGCGATGCGTTTGTCCATATCGACGGTGGCTGGTGTCAGCCTGAGAACAGCATATTTACGTACTCACACTTATTTAGTCACAGTGCTCATTTTCCACCCCACTTGAGTATCGATCGGCTGACATTTATATTTATGTCTGATGAAGTTTGCCTTTAAACTCTAGATTTCCCATTGGCTGACTCTTGTTTTATCGTTTGTCTTTAGATATATGCAAAAAACCTGGTGAATGCAGACCGTTGCGCACTTTTCCAGGTGGACCATAAGAACAAGGAGTTATATTCAGACCTTTTTGATATCGGAGAGGAAAAGGAAGGAAAGCCCATCTTCAAGAAGACCAAAGAGATCAGGTACAGCTAGGAGTAGAGCGTCCGTACGCTGTGAGTGCGGCTGCGCAGGTGTTCCGTGACCCACCTTTCTGTGCCTGTTCACAGGTGTGCTGACAGTACTTGTCATACTGTGATATCATTCCCACCAGGACCCGCCTCCTGAAGGTAGTACTTCTGGGAATGACATTGCAGCCAGCGAAACCGCGCCTGGGAAGCTTTAGCGTCACTCCTGGAAATGCCGTCTTCCGGAGGCGGTCCTTTTGGAAATCATGGTGGAAAAACTTACTAGTGCTCCCAGGTAGGTAAAGGGACATCCCGCTGGAGCCGCAGGTCCTGTGTGCGGGCGCCGGGCGGCCTTGCCCCCACCCCTTCCCGGCCAACGGGGCTGTCGGAGTCCTGACCCCAGCGCAGAGGGACCTCATAGATGGCATGACTCGGCCGCGCTCCTCGGTAGCTGGGCCGCGGGTGTCCCCGTCAGAGAGCACAGCTCCGCGGCGTCCGGAGCCCGAAGCCCTCTCTGTTCCCTCCCTCGCGGCTGCTGTCACTCACACGGACAGAATGGAGCCTGCCTGGTCGAGGCACGCTTGCTCAGTCGGGTCCCAACCTGGACAGCTACGAGGAGCACTGTCACCAACATTCAGACGTTGGCTCTTTTTTTTTTTTTTTTTTTGAACATTTGCATCCCTTTTGCTTATGTGTCCCGTTCAACCGTTTTTCCACATGAAAACGCAAAGTACTTTGGGAGTTACAACACTGCAGCCAAACACTGCTCCTTGTTAATTAAGAGTTGCTCTTCTTCGGCCTGTGGCGTGAGAGAGCCAAGCAGAAGTGATAGAAACAGGAGCGTGGCCCCCAGCCAGGCATCACCGCCGCCCGCCACCAGGCACGTCCCGTTCTGGGCTGGGTCCTACATTCCACACTCACGGAACTCCGAATTCAGATTTTTTTTTTATTTTTACATGTTTTATTTCTGGTGTATGTGCTTCTTAGACCTCAGTAAATCAGTCTGCATGTCGTCGTTTAGGCAAAGTAAGTTCTCTTGCTGAAGGGTCAGTGTTCCTTAGCGGTGCTGGTACTGATCGCCTTTTGCAGACCGTGGCTCGAACTTGTGTGGACAGGCGTGGGGGAGATAGCAAGGGGGACGTGCTTGCCGCGGCTGACGCCGCTGACCCGCTGGTGCCAGCCGTTCACGCGAGCACCCGCCTTGCTAGGGCTTCCCCTGACCGAGAGCCAGGCAGGAAAATGAGGCATAAACCGTGAAATGGTCCTAATCCTCTTTTCTTACAGCAATCTGATTTGTTCTGTCCATGCTGTTCGAAACACAAGAAAACCAGGACGAAATGAGCTTGCTTTTTATGCAATGTTGGGTTCATATTTTGCTGTTTTAAGAAAGTTCCTTCTCGTTTGTGTTGACAGTCTTTTGATTTTTCCCTTAGGGAACATCCTTAAAGTTGACTTTTATTTCAGTAATAGTTATTTCCTATAATGTTGAAAGCCTAACGTCACGAAAATTATTTTCAAGCTACTGAAATCTGTAGATATTGTGCACAATAGACATCTTTCTTAACTGATTATGAAAGGAGTGTATGAATTATGATATTAGGATGAGAAAACTATTAACCGGGAATATATTTATAAAAGAAAATGCTGATATATCAAAACATAATTAGCTGTTATCAGATAAAGCTTGCATTTTGACTGTTTTTAAATTTGACAAATTAGAAAATTAAAGGTTCTAGAAGTTGTAAATTGTGTTATGTTTATATAGTGCTTGTGTTACAAATGTCCTAGTCCGGCATAGTATCTCGAGCCGGACGTGAACTCACACATAACCCGTGAGTTTGTTCACACATGTGGCGCGGGGGGAAGCACACTGGTGGAGACATACTTTCTGGTGGCTCTTGCGCCACTATTATTTCAGGAATACTGACGAGTTACTGGACCCATATGGCCTTCCATTCACACCACAATGAGAATTAGTTAAGAAAATTTATGTTCAAGAACACCTGGCTGGCTCAGTCAGTAGAGCGTGAGGCTCTTGATGTCAGAGTCATGAGCTCAAGCCCTATATTGGGCATAGAGCCTACTTAAAAATAAATAAATAATTATGTGGAAACTAATTTGACAATAAACTATTTGTAAAAAAAAATAAATAAAATAAAAGACTGAATTGTAAAATGAATAAATAAATAATTAAAGCAAAGTTACGTTGAAGTGTCTTATAAATTATAAGGTATATAATATATTTGCAAATATTAAAGATTATTACTGGTCATGAGAGGCGACCACCAGATAATTTTGCAGTTTCAACTTGTTATCCAGTATAACTTAATATATGGTGGATTATATCCTAAAACAAGCTTCTCCAGTGATGCCTGTGCAGCGGTTTTCTACTTTACCTTTCAGTCTTATGTCATAATAAGGTGGTTTTGAATATGTAAATGTAAAATTAGTGCAAGGATTTAAAATAAAACAACCCTGTCTGTTTACTATTTAGTGGTGGTGAAATGTTCCAGGTTACTTTACCGCATCTGTATTTTAAGTAGCATGTCCTTCTCTCTTCTGTCTGCAGATTTTCAATTGAGAAAGGAATTGCGGGTCAGGTGGCGAGAACGGGGGAGGTCCTGAACATTCCAGACGCCTATGCGGACCCACGCTTCAACAGGTAAGAAACAGTGCCCGGCCCTGTCCACCTGTCACGTCCCGCTCGGCTGCAGCCTGTGTGCTCACGCGCCCCAGGTGCCCACGTGCCAGTGCCAGTAGGTCCTTCCTCGCAGGCGCTCTGTGACACTCTCTTCCAGCCAACTCTGTTATCAGTCCTCCGTGTTTTCAGATATTTATAAAATGGTGGACTCTAAACCGTTAATGGTATCCAGCTATAGGAGATTAAAATGTGATAGAAGCATTTATTTATACAGGAGCAGTTTAAACTTGTAAGGCTGCTTTCGTTCTTATGGCGCTGGTGTCATTTTGTCCTGGACACATTCTCCATGACACTGTTCCTTACACGGCAGTAACGCCTCCTGATGAAAGTGCCCGTCTTGGACTTCTGTCCCGTCGTTTATTAACTCCATAGCGACCTGCACTGAGTTACTTAATCCCTCAGAGTCTCAGTTTTCTCACCTTTAAAATGGTACAGTGATGCCTGTTTTGTAACGGGTGTGTGTGTGTCTGAAATCAGAGAAAATACACAAGAGATCTGGCAACTTTAACAGACACAAAGCGGGAGCTCCGTGGATTGCCGCTTTTACTAGAGATGATTAAAGCTGGATATTAGATGGCTCATAAAGGCTTTTATTTTGTTTTTGAGTTTCTTTGGAGAAATAGAAGCCAAATTTTATAATCTGATTTTAATAAATCTTAGAAAATGAAAGTCTCTGGACTGAAGCTGCAACTGGTAGGGAGTAGTAGTAGGCCAAATACTTTGGCAGTAGTGTTCTGTGAATCCAAACATTTGGTTTACTTTAAGAGGAGATTAAATAAATAAGCAGTCAGAATGTTTTTCAGAAATTTGATTAATGCCAGAGATGTGCAACTTGTATATAAACACAATTATATCTTACTAATACATTTTATCAATAAACTAAGAGCCTGCAGAAAATCTCGGTTTTCCAAAAATCCAAACTTATGTTAGTGTTTATTGAAAATATTTATATATCCTTATTTGTAAAACTGTTAGATAAAAATTTTATGGGTCGACTTTTAAGAACTTGAAAAGGCAAGCAACAGATTGTGAGAAAATATTTGCAAAGCCTGTATCTGACAAAATACAGGCTCCGGAATATGTAAACAGCTCTGCCATAGGACAATATGAGCGATATTAGGATAGACGTAGGATAACCTAATGTAATAAATAGAACCCAAAATTTTAACAAGCATTTCACAAAAGAAGATACACGAATGACCATCAGACACATGAAAGGCGCCCGATGTGAGGGAAATAGAATTTGATGATGAGATCTTGTTAGACGGCAACGCGAACAGACACAGTTGTTAACGAGTGGCAGTGGCATGCGTGGCACGGACGTGGGAAAGCCGGGGCTCTGCTGCTTTGCTGACGGGAGTGGCTAACGGTGCAGCCACGATGGAGAACGGGTCTGCAGTTTCTTGTAGAGTTACACATATGCTCACTGTGCCCAATCAGCTCCTCTCCGATGGATCCAGAAAAACAACACCTGTCTACACAGAGATTTTTCTGCACATCTTCAAAACGGCATTTTTCATGATGGCCAAAAAAACTGGCTGTTAACAGACACTAATATCCATTAACTGGTGAGCAGATAAAGAAAACGTGGTAGATTCCATACCCCGGAATACAGAAGGAGAGGCACCGGACCATTGGTGCCTTGGGACTTGCTGCAGCACGGATCAGTCTCAAAGCATTACCCTGAGCGCGGGTTGACAGGCATGAGTGACGGCCGTCTCAGTGACTGCCCTGAGCTGTCTGGTTGTGTCTGTGGAACTGAGTCCTAGTTGCCAAAAATAGTTTCTCTCAATCAGGAGGCAGCAAACATTTTCTGTGGAGGATCAGATAGTAAGCGTTTGGGTCCATAACGTCTCTGTCACGAGTCAGCTGTGCTGCAGGGCTGCCGCAATCCATTCGGGAACCATGCCGTTGAGTCCCACTAACACTGTTAACAGGGGCGCCTGGGGGCCTCAGTCGGTTATGCGTCTGACTCTTGATTTTGGCTCAGGTCATGATCTCAAGGTTCGTGAGTTCGAGCGCCACCTCAGGCTCTGCGTTGACAGCATGGAGCCTGCTTGGGATTCTCTCTCTCTCCCTCTCTTTCTGCCCCTCCCCTGTCTCTCTCGTTCTTTCTCTCTCTCTCTCTCTAAAATAAATAAACATTAAAAAAATAAAAATGTAACAAAACAGCAGAGGGCTGGTTTGGCCCATAGGCTGCAGCGTGCCGACCCCGGCACTAAAGTTTTAAGGTGATAACCCCTATTGAAGTTTGTTGATTAGCAAGTTGCCTCTCTCATAACCCATGACCGAGTTCAAAGGAACATGTTATTTTACAGAATTTATTATATTTCTCCTCTGCATCTAGTCTGTCTGTGTTTACTTAACAATCCTGGATACTTAACACTGGATCATAAACCGAAAGCCTCCTCGAGACTGTTCTGAAAAACGCTGGAAAATACAAGAACAAATTGGTTGGGATGTGTTTCCAAAGATTTTAGCGCAATACTTTCAAATGTCACATTGTCCTTGAATTGAGAAGCTAATCGGCCCCGTTACAATTTGTTGTTAAGGGAGACGCGTAAGTTGCAGAACTCAGTTGAGACTTATGACGGAAGCTATACTTTCTTCTGTGTGTGTGTGCGTGTGTCTGTCATTTCGCTCTCGAACGCTACCGCAGAGAAGTGGACTTGTACACAGGATACACCACGCGGAACATACTGTGCATGCCCATCGTGAGTCGGGGGAGTGTCATCGGTGTGGTGCAGATGGTCAACAAGCTGAGCGGTAGCGCCTTCTCGAAAACGGACGAGAACAACTTCAAGATGTTTGCGGTCTTCTGCGCGCTAGCCTTACACTGTGCCAATGTGAGTGACGCCAATTTTTTAAATATCTTTTCTACTGCTCGGTATCAGTTGGAAAACCTTTTAGGTCACGTAGTTGAAAGATTGTTTTTTTTTACCCCCAGCATTTCCTTCATAACCCAGAAAAGTGGTTCCTGGTTGTATATATTTCAGATCTCTTAAAATGCTTTGGAAAAAAATCCTCTAATAGTTTGCATTTGTCTCAAGGTGAATTTAAAATTTGTTTTGTTAAAAACAAAAACGAGGTTATGTAAAGGTAAAATGTTCCCATGTGAGGTGTACCTGTTGTGGTATCTACTGACATAAGGAAGGAAGAGGTCGCTGTCGTGGTACATACGTACTGCCTTTGAGAGTCTCGTACCAAAGATGGAGGTGACTCCGGGGCGGACACCACGTGGGCTAGGCTCCCTCGTGCAAACGCAGGGGGGGCCTCTCAGCACAGCAGTCACATTAGGGGGCAGCTCACTTGACCCCACAGCACGTGGGCCCCGGTCACCATCTTTGTTGACTTTAAACCAGTTGAGATCAACATTCGGTATTAGGGAAACTAAGAATCCTTTAGTGATGGCTGACATTTAAAAGTCCAGGAAATTTTTATTAACCTTTTACAAAGCTAAACCAATGCAAATGGAAGTTACCACCTCACTAATGTTGAAGAGTGTCCTTTTTGGAACTAGAACCTTGAGTTCCATAGGACCAACTGCACAGTTGATGGAGACAGCTGAGACAATGAGGAACAGAAGTGGCCAAAAATAGTACTCTGGAGACGAAGGACAAGCATGTGCGGCTCATTTAGTGCTGCTTAGTGAGAACACCCGTCCCCCCGCGTCACCCTGTGCTCTCTCATGGGGACCTTTCCTATCACTTAGTTCATCAGAAACACATGAGCACAGCAGTTAAATACTTTCTGCTTTAAACACTTTCTGTACCTGTATTTCTCATAAAAAAAAATATATATATATATATTGACAGGCTTACATTCGTGTTGTTTAGTTTAAAAGTTGCAGAGGGGGTGCCTCTGGGCGGCTCTGTTGGTTACATGCCCAAGTCTTGATTCCGGTTCAGGTCCTAATCTCACAGTTTGTGAGTTCAAGGCCTGCGTCAGACTCTGCACAGGCAGCGCAGAGCCTGCTTGAGATTCTCTGTCTCCCTCTCTCTGCCCACCCCCCTCAAATAAAACACTTTTAAAGAGGTTGCAGAGAATATAATTTCTAATCAATTCTTAATATTGATTTTTATTGTTTTTTTTTTTATGTTTCCAATGGAATCAACTACTGTAGCCACTTGAGAACCATTATAGTCCATTTAAATACACAACTATAAGCTCTTACCATTGGGAATATTAGCATTCTTTCTCTCTCGGAATATGTATTTCTGTACCCACAGACATTTGATCTAATGTAATACATTTTATGCTTTAAAGTGTTTTTTATTAAGATAATCTAAAACATGTATAATTGTGAAAAGTTAATTTTGGCTTGTAGTATATGTCATTATTAGCATACGTGTGATGCAAGCAACTGTGTTATGAAATTTTGATAAATGATTATCAAAAATAAAAAAATACAAATTATTGGAAACTCTTCTATCCTAATGAGATGTCTGTGACTTAACACAAAAATGGTTTACATACGTATAAATACACTGTACCTCTTTTAGAATGAAACAAAACTTAGTGTAAGTTTTTTATACTTTTTATTTGAAAATAACTTCAGACCAAAAGCAAAGTTACAAAATTATACAAAGGTTCCCTTATACCATTACCCATGCTCCCCAGTGTTGATATGTTACCGTTTTTACCTTGATATTCTTTCTTCTCTCTCTCTGCCTCCTTCACAGATGTCGTTATTTCTCTGATACAGCTGAGAGCATGTTTTAGACAAAATGTCCCACAGCTCCCAAATACTTCTGTGTGCATTTTCTGACGACAAGTACATCATCTTACTTTCCCTCTGCAGAATTTAAAAGTCCAGAAGTTCACGTTGGAACTGTACTGGCGTGTTAGGGCTGCCACAGCCCACACCACGGACTCACTGGCGTGGGCAGCAAAAGGTTATTGGCCACGGTTCTGGCAACGGGAAGTCCAAGTGTGTCAGCAAGTTTGGTGCCTTCTGAGGCCTCTGTCCTTGGTCTATAGGTGGCCACCTTCTCCCTCTGTCTACGTAAGGTCCCCCTTCTGTGCGTGGCTGTGCTCTGATCTCCTTTTCTCAGAAGGACGCATGTCCTACAGAACTCAGGCCTGACCCTTTGACCGCCTTTTACCCTCATTGCCTCTTTAAAGGCCCTGTGTCCAAATACGTCACATCCTGAGGTACTGGAGATGTAAGGTTTCAGCATAGGCATTTGGGGGACTAAATTCAGCCCCTGACATGTGCCAGGCATCTAAACTGCAAACTTATTGTTTTATGTTTATTTTATTTATTTTGAGAGAGAGATTGTGTGTGAGGAGGAGAGGAGGGACAGAGAGGGAAGGAGAGAAAGAGAATCTCAAGCAGGCTCTGTGCTGTCAGCACAGAGCTCGACGTGGGGCTTGATTTCACGAACTGTGAGATCCCGACCTGAACCAGAATCAGGAGTCAGACGCTTAACTGATTGAGCCCCCCAGGCACCCCTAAATAACAAACTTCTTTAATGTTCTTTCATCTGGAACCATTCCTTGCTCTTTGCCTTTCGTGCCCTGGGTATTTTTAAAGCATACGGGCCAGTTATTTTGTAGAACGTTTCTTAATTTGGACTTGCCTGATGTTTCCTCATGATTACATTGAGGGTATAATTTAACAGGGCCGTCACAGGTTGACGTGTCCCCATTGGGTCCCATTAGCAGGCACGCATCCGTTGTTGGTTGACATTTGCTTCATCATTCGGTTAAGGTGCTGTCCGGCAGGTTCTCATCAGAAATGCTTTCCCTGTCTCTCACAGGGAAGAGAAGAGAGTTCCTAAATAAGCCTCTGGAATCACTTTCCCTTTCTCTCTTTCCCTGTGATGTGTATTGGTACCTCTGCTCTTATCCTACAAGATTCCTTCTAGCCATCTTGTTGCCATCTGGAACTTTCTTCTTCGACACTGAAAAACTTGGCTCCCACTATTCAGCGTCAGTTTTATTCCCACTTGTCCCTTTTACTTTTAAGGAAGCCATAAGTATTGCTTTCATTAATGAGTACATAGTAGAAAGCATTTTATTTTAGCAATTTTTCTTAATTTGAACTCCCATCTGAGCTAAGATATGAGAAAGTGCTGATAAGTCTGCCATCAGAAGTTACTTTAAATGATCTATCAGCTGAAAATTTATTTAGATCTACCATCAATATTTCATGAAAGATTTAGAAACCATCATTAGACCTTGTTAATACCATACTTTATGTTTCACTTTGCTTATAGAGGTTTTTGTACTAGAGCAGTTTAAGGAAGGTGTAATTTTGAAACAGGTGGTGGGAAAATGTCATTTTTAGGTCAGTGTATTTGTGGAAGTGAAGGAGGTAGAAATCAGTCCTCTTAAAATCTATCCAAGTTTCCATGTGTCCCGTAAAGGTCACTGTCCGTTTAAACTCTGCTGAGCCAGGGAAGAGTTAAGATGGCAGAGAAGTAGGGGGACCCTGGGTTCTCCTGGCCCCTCAGACACAGCTCTGTGGAGGTCAGATTGTGGAGCCCCAGGAGACTGATCTGCAGGGCGGCAGAGGACCTCCCCGGGTGGAGGGAGACCGCGTGGCAGGTGGGAGTGATTGGGGGAAACCATGGTGCCTTGGAGGGGAAGGGAACCCTTTCCCTGGAAAGACAAAAGGGAGGGAGAGAGAAAGCGGGAGGGATTGAGAAAGTGTGGCATCAAGTTTGCACAAAGCGAAAACCTCTCTGGATCACAGACGGGAAAGCGAGAAGTACTGAGTGTCCCAGTTCTCTTGCAAACAGCATTTGGAGCTCACCCTCTGAGGTTCTAGAAGTGCGTGGCTTTGTCCGGGGCGGAGCTGTGGAGCGAGCTCCTGGGGAGGACGGAGCTGGCCCCGGAGTGTACAGCGCGGCGGAGGCATCTCCGGGGCACCCTGGGGGAGGGCAGTCCCTTCCTGGAGTACTTTTGTGACAGGGTGTCTGGCCTCCCAAGGATAAGAGCCCCTGCCGGCGCCAGCCAGAAGCCCTTCGTCAACGGGACAGATGTGCGCCAGGGGAAATGGAACCTGCTGCCTTCAGCGGTGCCGCACCATAGGCTGCTCTCGCTGTGCAGGCTGGGGCTGTTTCTCAGGGACAGGACTCCACACAGCGTGGAGAGGCTCTGCTCCGGAGGAGGGGGCGCATCCGTGCGGTGCCCCATGCTTTAAGGCTTTGGGTTTGAATCCCAGCCCTGCACCAAGATAAAAGGCAAGACAGTTGTGGCGCAGGACGAGCTGCCCGCTCTAGCTGTTCTGTGAAGCTGCCTCAACAGCGCAGGGTGTGAGACCCCTGTCCTAGGACCACAGATTGGGGTGACACCATTTTACCCCCAACACCAACATGGTGGGACTTCCGGGTACAGCACACAGGCCCCCAGTGGAGGCAGGACCCGCTTACACCGACACCCCCTCCCCAGGGCCTGCCAACTGCTTATTTATGAGGGCCAGACTGACTGTGAGGAACGCCACAGGCCTCTCCTCCAGCCCGGCACGGCCAGCACCCTCCAGGCACCAGGTGTCCTGAAAATCAACTGCTTCACAACGGCACCTACAGTTCGTTCTTCTCTGTTTCTTTCTTCTTCGTTTTTACTTTTGGAATCAGGGTCATAGTTTCTTGTTTGTTTTTTTCATTTCTTCTCTTTCTCTTTGTTTTTCAGTCGGGCTTTTTAATTCTTTTTTTCTTTTCTTCTTCTTTTTCTTTGGAATCAGCCTTAAAGTTGTTTGATTTTCTGGGTTTATTTTTTGGCTCCCTTCCATTTTTTTCTTTTTTGGGGGAGATCAGGCTTCCCCCCCCACATTTTTCTCCAGGATGTGTCAACAAACAAAGCAAAGCAAATCTACACACAAGGAAGAGCTCTGCAAAGG